GCGGGAGACACATTATTGTGTCTCGCGGCGTGCCGGCTCGCCGCTGTTCACAGTAACCAAACAATGTAAAACTGAAATGAAAAGTGATTTCCAAACCAAACAATATGAAACTGAAATGGAAATTAAGTCTTCTAGGTGGATCACTAGGTGTCATAAATACCCTACATTCCTCAAAACATGGATCCGAACAAATCCTAATTTCTTCCCAATAGTTAGAGTTGATCAAGCCAGTGTTTTGTTGACACTAGGTTAATTAGCTACTTTAGGTCAAAGGTAGTACTCTAGGGTCAAAGAGCAACCCTAGACTGGGAGTATGAAATTGAAAAGCCTGATGAAGTAGGACAGAATGTGCACTCCTTGACACTTAAAATACAAATTACCTAATGTTAAAAAAGTGTGCCAGAGACAAGTTCTGCAGTTGCTAACCATTCTTTTAATCCTTTATTACAGCAAGGTAATTAGGGACCATGTGCATAGATCCTAGCTTAGCCTAAAGATTTGGTCATATTGGGTCTTGGGTCTGACTAAAACACTTTGTGAAACTGTTGAAAACCCTAGCCCTAGTTTATTTTTCTTTCTTTACGTGTAAAGGTTGGGAAAAGCCATGGCCACCAAATTCCAACCCCCTCCTCGTTGCGTGCATGGCGGCAGACAAGCACAAAACACCTGTATCTTCAACCTCACGCAATGTTTCGTTCACACATCCTTAGGTTAGTTTCACTTGAAAAGCCATTCAACTTCTCTTCATATGTTCAATCTTTCGATACTTTCTTTCTTGATTCTAGCACCTTTTTTAAAGTACCACGTATAGATGGTTACATAATAATATTGAGGAGCTAGTTTAAAAAAAGAGAGAAAGGACAAAAATCTAGAGATTAAAAGATTGATTGAGTTGTTGGAATTCTAGCTTTGACTTGATATCTTAGATTCTTTCCTTTATAAGGACCCTAACACCCTCCTTTTCATCTCCTCTCCCTTGTTCGTAATCGCACTTGACAAACATACCTAAAGGTTAGGCTCAGAAAAATAAAGAAATGATGTGCCTAAGATTCACAAGCGTGGCCCTTTGGCTTTTGCTCTCTTTGGCTTCTCTGAGGGACTCCATTGCTATTAACCACCAAGGTACATACTTAATTTCTTCTTTTATTCGTAATTTCCAAAACAAAAAAAAAATGCATAAAAGTTCATGCTAACTCTTGACATGTTTATTTAATCTTGATTTAGTTTGCTTCTTGCTAATGAAACTAGCTAGGATGAAATTTTATAAATGCTTCGACTTGGAAATTAAAAGTAGTGCTAATTCCTCACTTCTTTTATAGAGATTGACGCGCTGGCAAGTAGTCATCATGCCATAGAACTGAACAAAAAGGTACATTTTGACGTTATTAACTATTTATCTTGAAAATTTTGAAAAAAGAAATCTACTGAGCCATATAGTTGGCATCAATTTATAGGAACTCCAAGTCGAGGCGGAGGCAGAAGTGGTGACCAGAAGGAAAATAATGCTGAGAGGAAGGAAGATGGGGGCGAAAGACGAGATGAAGAAGGAGAAGATCACAGGTGCAATTAACCCTTCTGTTGGAAAATGTGAGGATATAAATGGAGGGAAAGGGGAATATTCAAAATTAGAGTGTGATTTGAAGGTCAATAGAGGCCCCTCTTCTAGTGTCAAACTTGTTGGATTGATCCCTTTCAGTTCTGATTACCATGCACCAAGAACTCACCCACCAAAGAACAACTAAGGCAAAGTTGATCTCCAATGCCACTAACTCCAAAAGAATTTTGGGCAATTTTGTTTTTTCTTTCTCTTTATTATTGATATATATACACATATATGTCTATGTGAATGTAGATGGAGAGATGCCTTACAGTGTATTTTGTATGAAATGGCAAATTGACTACTTCAAAGAAATCTCTTTCTTTTATACCTATATATATACATATTGGCAAGTTGTGATGAATGTCTCTTGATTACTTGATTTTGGATTTTAGGTATTATTCGAATGTTCTGATGCGTATACAAAGCTCATGCACGTACAAATCTGCCAGGTGTGAATTTTAGAAGAATTATGTAGATGGAGAGATGCCTTATAGCGTATTTTGTATGAAATGACAATGACTACTTAGAGGAATTTGATTCTCATATTCCCATATATATATATGATATTACTGGCATGCTTATGTGATCTTGTCCCTTAATTACTACATTTCTTGCTTAATTAAGTGTTATTTGAGTCTTTGATGAGCACAAAGTTCATTGACAATCTTTCAAAAATGTGAAAAGTTTAGAAGAATCATTATCCCGGGAGCATACTTTGAGAGAGTTTTCCGTAATTTTAGGGTGATAAAGTGCAATTTCTTGAAATGAGTAGAAGAAAGATGGAAGGGTTCTGTGCCATTTGAATACTTGTATTTTTTTTTTCCTGACGCAGGAAATGGCGTGCATTCTCCAAACAAATTTGGCTCAGCAGGCACAAGTTATAAGGTAATTAAATACGTTATGTAAGCGTAATTTCTATACAATTTCTAATTTCCTCATCTAATCTTTTTTGAGTCTAAAATCATTTCATTAAGAATTTGAATGGTGACACATAATATGATTAATAAAGTTACATGTTTTGAAACGCACACTAATTAATAGTATCATCATCATTTCTACAGACTCAAGATAATTTTTCCTCAATGCACAAGCTGGAAGCTTTTGAGCCAGAAAATTTTCCAAATGCTGAACAAAATGAATCCTCTGCTGCTAAAGTCTCTCCAGCTGAAAGTACAGAGGATGAGCTCTACAATTTGCTGAACGAGGATTACACTAGAGGTCACAAGAAATCCCCAATCCACAATCTTCAAACCTTGAAGGATAGTGATATTGTTGGAGTCCCTTAATTAATTAGTAGCTCTTTCCTACAAAAATTTTGTAATGAGATATGGCTTTTATTTAGCTTCTTGTACTCTTACTAAGACTAGCTTTGTTAGTTTTATTTGGGAGCTAATTAAGTAGGAATAAATACTAGAATGTATCAAGCTCAATAATAGCTTTGCTTTATATTTTTTTTTCTTTAACTGGAATTTTAAGAAATTTCTCGTATGTTTGTGTATTCTTGTAGTTTGACGTGGAATTGAGATTGTTTCCCACTTGTTTTTTGACAGGGAGGAGGTCAAGTTCACCTCAGAATTCATAATTGTTAAATATTACAAGTGGGCATCTCCAAACTATAGTTATCCCTAAGAACAAATAAGCCTTTGTTTTTTTTTGTTATATAGAATGATTTTGATTTATTATGAATATAACTAATACCGTAGGTTTCATGTGTTGTACTCGTTGATACCTTATTTATGAAAGATTAGTATAATGCACATGATTTGCACGTAAACGTACATGTTTTAAGTTTTGAATTTTTTATTGAATAGTAGAACTATATGTTAACAAATAAAATTGTATAATAAGATTGCTTAAAAATAAAATGTATGAATTAATTATTATTATGTAGTTATTGTATTTGAATGTTTTTCTTATAATGATCGCTCAATGTTAATTTTTTTAAATAAGTCTCCAAACTTGAAAGTTGTTAAATAAGTTATTGTGTAGTTTGTTCTTAAATAAAGTTGCCAATTATATAAGTTGTCTTAAATATTCACCACAACTTGAAAGTTGTTAACTTAACACTAAATTAATTAAGCTGCATTAATCTTGCTAGCTTTTTCCTCGATGTTCCATAGATAATTATACTTTGATACCTGCAACATACTGTAATAGTTACTTCTCATTATAATTATTTAACATGGTAAATTACACTAAACCCTTATGAACTTTTAGCCCATATAAAATTTCAAAAGTACACTAAACTCCTAATGACTTTTCTGTTTTAAAGAAGACCCCAATAATTTTCTTAACTTTGCAGATAATTCTTATAAATTAGAACTAGAAAATAGCATAAAAAGACGTTTTGAAAGTTATTAGGGATTTTGTGTAATTTATCTAAAGATATCGAAGCCTTTTTACAAAAGTTATTAGGGGTTTAGTGTGATTTTGGAAGTTCATAGGATCTATTTATTAAAAATGCTAATAGTTCATGGGGGTACTATAATTTACCTACAATTAATAGTACTATTATTCACAATTAAATAAATTTTTTTGTAAAAAGATTAGTTTTCAATCATTACCAAGTATAGATTATTCAGTATCATGTAATAATTTTTGAGAAAATACTCTAAAAATAATATTAAATTATTTATTTAATAATATAATACTAAATAAATAGTATACTTCATAATTTTGTGATATTATTAAAATAATTACACTTTTTATGGCATTCAAAAGTTATTCGATTTATTTTATTACTCATTGAATTATAGTATAATTTTTAATACTATTGGTTACTACTAATAATTGCGCATACTTATTTTATAAATTATTTTATTATTTTATTATTTTTAAATAATTAATAGTTATAATATTATTGATAATTATAATTATTTAGGAAGGTGAGGAGGTGCATAATTAATAAGAGGTTTTATTTATTTAATGAAAGATTAATTAAAGATAATGCTAAAGTTAGAATTTATCAAAATTTGAGAGGGAAAAAAGGAAATTAAAAGTTTTAACATATTAATACTCTTTTTACAATAGAAAAGATAAAATAAATAACTGTCTATTATGATATAACTAAATATAGTGCCTTAAGAACTGAATTTTCTACTGTGTACCAAATCCTTAGGCATGTAGTATTACTGAAAATGAGGTTAGAAGATTATGCAGAGGCTGCAATGGGGTCACGGCTTTCTGTGGATGGAAAGTAGTAGCTAAATGCAGTAATAAGATTCTAGTTTCAAGTAGCATATCTCTATGGAAATAGATCTGACGTGTATTATTTCTACCGGTTGGGAAATTATGGATTATATCTTATAAAATCATGAATTTTGGATTTTACAAAATTACTTGCCGATGAGTAAACATAACTAAAATGACTAAAATCATGAGTTATTGCTTATAAAATCATTAATTTTTGAATCATTAAAATTATTTGGCAATAGACATAAATGACTAATAATTGCCTAAAATCGTTGGTTATAGCTCATGAAATCATGAATTTTGGATTCCACAAAATTACTTGTTGATGGGTAGAAATAACTAAAAAAGGCTAGAAAATATGGGTAATAGAATACAAAATTAATTGTTGATGATCTATATCCCAAGATTTTTATTCATTTTTAGTCATACCTTCATGTAGGGTCGAAAAATTAAAGTGTGATTGATTCTCTTGTTTTAAGAAAACTGGGTTCGATCACTTGGTACGAAACCCTTACAATCACTCGCACTCTCTCTCAATTATAGATGAAGAGAAGATTAATTCAGCTCCTCCTTGTTTAACGTGGGTTTTTGGTGGCGAAAGGATGCTTCCCCCGATGCTTGAGTCGAGATTGCCTCCCGTTGACGATCAGAACAAGATTGCTGAAGCTTCTCACATTCGTTAGCCGGCTGGATTCGACATTCGAACTCCGGATTTACACACAGAAGCTCTGATCTCTGATGATTACCAAAAGCTTTATAAGTCTGAACCAATCAATCCTTTTCTCTGTAGCCATCCATGACTATTTATAGGGTTTAAGTACGTAACCGACGTGCTAAGATCATGGGTAGAGAGGCGTAACTGCCTCCTCCAAATCAGCACACGCCGTAGCGTGCTCCTGAAGATTAGCCCAAGTGGCTGACTAAGTCTTCAGAGCCGTTACAGCTAGATCTCATGTGGATGACAAGTCTCACCGTACGATGAAGTTCATCTGATTGAACGAGCCTCAATATGCAATGAGGTTCGTTTTCTAAGGCCAACTTTGTAGTATAGCGAACTCTGTCTTCATTGACTTCGTCTGACGAGCTTCGTATTCACTAACGAACTTCGTCTTCGACATCTGAGTCCAACTATGTAGCAAGTCTTGTGAATTTCCTTTTGACGAGCCTCATCTTCACTAATGAGCCTTACGTCTGGTGGTGAGTTCTGAACCTTGTATCCAATGACGAGCTTCGAACCTTGTCTTCAGTGACGGATATCATCTTCAAGAGTAGCTTTGCTTAGTGATGGACTTTGATATTGAGCTTCGCGACGCAACGAACCTCATCTTTTGGTATTGAGTTTCGCTGCGTGGCGACCCTCGTTCCTGAAGTGGATCTTTACTACACAATGAGTCTCGTCTCAGATTGGTGTTCGCGGTGAAAATTGTTTTCTTCGATTCCATTGATTACTTTGTTAACAGTTTATCGGTTACGAAGATCCGGTCTTTTTATAAGATCCGGTTACAATAAAATCAAAAGAAATAAAAATTACAACTTTCCTTATTTGTCGAACGAATCGCAAGATCCTGTTTTGCGGTCTCTCGCTTGTGTGGGTTCTTCGCCTGCGCCGGGGTTAATTCGTGGACCACCGTGCGATCTTGATCCGGTCGGATCTACACGGTACGATGGGTGTTATATCACGAAGGAAATAACAGCCGAGGGGATTATTTCACCAAGGAAATAATAGCCCGTAGTAATCGAAATCGACCAAACGAAATCGAGACTCTTCTCGGGATCAAAGACCAAGCTTTGATCCGGAGGGTTACCATGCAGATCTCAGATCTGATCTCTCTCGAACTCCTGCTTTATTTGGCGTGGATGATCGCCAAGAACCAGATCTGAAAGTCTGAGTCTTCTAAGCCTTGAAAAGTTTGAAGTCGAGTTCTCAATCCGGCAGCGTTTCGGGTCCAAAAGTTCTAACCTCTAAAACAATGAGCCACCAAGCCTATTTATAGGCATTCAGAACCAGATCTGGGCTCAGATCTGGGCCCAGATCTGGGCTTAGCCCAGGTGGCTCGGCCACCGAGCCACCTCTGGGTGGCTCGGCCACCGAGCCACCTCTGGGTGGTTCCTCTTGGTGGCTCGGTTTTGGCCGAGCCACCTAGAGGTGGCTCGGTTTCGGCCGAGTCCTCCAGGTGTTTGGTTTTGCACCCATTTTCTGGTTTCGCGGTTTATCCGAGCTTCGTCGTTGATCTGAACTCTGATTTGGCAGTCCGGATCCTGATTTGGCAGTAAATCCGCCTTGGAGTTCGAGTTCGAATCCGTCCTACGGTTGGATGACTCGTTGACTCACTGAACCGTTAGCTTGATTCCGTACGCAAGTGGATGTATTCCGTTGTTTGGTGCGATTCGTTAACCTCGTCGCCTCGTTAATACGCTTCGTCGCGTGTCACTTGGCTTCGATGTGGTGGACTAACGCTCGTGTTTAGATACGTCACCCGATGGTTCGTTGGTTTGTCGAATCACCGTACCGAGCTGTGCTAAAGGACCCATAGGCAGTTTTATACGCCTACAAATACCCCCTCCAAAGTATTTCAGCCTCGTTCTTTTATAGAAGAGTCTGGAATACTTTGGATATGATTGTCCCAACCTTCAGTCGGTGTAACGGGACCTTGGAATGGCTTCTGTTCTTGATTCCTTCAATCCTTGAGGCTATTCGGTGCTTTGTTGAATGCTTACAAGGGTTCCGATGCTGCATTTATTGTCTGACCGTTGTCGGAGTTTCGAACTTGAAGTCGATTCCTGATTTTCTGATCTTTAGCTCGTGTTTGCTGGTTCAACATAGAACTGACCATCGATTGTTGGCATTGAGTCTTTATTTGTGACGCGTTGTCCGGTGTAGTATTGTTGAGTTATTCTTAAGAATATTTTTAGAAAAATATTCTCCAGAAACTTCTCAACCAAAAATAGGGAATAGTTTATACTCGTATACCTTATTGGAGTATTTTCATGTCCGAATGAGCCGAACCGGCCTAATAATGACCCAAAAAAGGCAGTAATTAGGCTCAAAAAGTCTTCCGACCCTTCCGAATGTGTGGGAGAGGAATGAATAAAC